TGTTAAATTAGATTATGTCCAAAGTTTGTTGCTTAGTGTGGCAGTTAGAGTCTGCAAGGTATGCAGACAATGATAAGAACTATTTATGTGGATGCTATAGACTGCAGTAATTACTGACGCACCTGAGGCCTGTAATTGGGAAAATTTTGCAGACTCTACATCTAGCTTGGTGAGAAACCATTTCCGTGGCTGATAATCGGTAACATGTAGGGAGCCACAGGAGAACAGCAGGCTCCGATCTCAGCCAAGACAGGAATTTTTCTTCAACAATTGCTGAATTCAGAACCTGGAAAAAATACATGTCTTGAGTTCAGCCATTTATTTGAAAGAACTAGTGTCTCATCTACAGTTCCTAATAAAAGCTCTGATACTGGTCTCCACTAGCATAGATCTTCTGTTCATTTAAAATGTTACTGGGTTCCAAAGGTTTTGGAATAATTGGAAGAGTCTTCAGGAGTATCTTACTGAACATTTTTTCTATAGATATAAATCCTGTATGCCATGAGACTGATGATCAGTCCTTTCTCTTAAAAGTAGACACTGGTGGATATTATATGGTGGTACATTTGCAATTTTAATCAACACTTAAAATCATTTCCCAGGACATCAGAATTTCACTCACCCCATGGAAACAGCTGTGAGTTGCAATTTCCACACAAGATAGAGTGCAGCTTTCTCCCACAATGGCTGGGATCTGCATCAAGAAGGAAGACTCAGAAAAAAATCACTAAAAACCCAGATGTTCTCATCATGCTCTGTTGAGATGGTGACAGCACACAGATGTTGTAGCTTCTATAGGAATGCTATTTTACATTCTGTTCTGAAAAAAACTCTGTTCATATTCATACCATCAGTATGCAGTTTCATAGTGCAGTATGTGTCAGAATAACTCGCTTTCAGCTCACTTAACGAAAATGGATCAACATACTATGTTGCCATACTAGAATACTGAAGTGTCCATTCAGATAGAAATACCTTCATGCTAAGGCATTTTTCTGCTACTGCAAGCTATTCTACTGAGTACAGACATCTGAAGTTTGGAGTTGCTTTAGGAACAGCTGTATGCAGCTGTTCCCAGGACCTGTAAATTCAGTCAAAATGAACACACAGTGGTTACTCTCAGTGGTCACTCTGACTGAGAAAAGCTATAGAATTTTATTCTTCTACATATTTTGCATGGTAGCTCCCTATGTTCACAGAGTACCCTAAAGACTTCAGTCCCATAATGTAATCAAACATAAAATGTACCGACCATTTTTTTGTTTCTCCTAGATTAGGGTTCTCCTACAAGATCTGTTGTGTAACAGCACTACAGTGGCATTACCTGATTCAAGTCTGTTAGTAGGCTTCTCAGGGCACTACGGGTAATGAAGGCCTCCTTCCCATCAGGGACAGCATAAAGCTGGAAGAAAGCTGGAAACAACCAGAAATAAGAAACTGTAATCCTGGCAGAGCCTGATGTGTCTTCTAGCTACTTACTCTCAAACTATCTATGTGATGGACTAGATGACCTTGAAAGGTTCTTTCCAACTCAACACATTCTATGATTCTATGACTGCAGCCTACCAAATAAACCCCTCAGGAAAGTCACCCTTTATTGTCTACCTAACAGGCACTCAGTGACTGCTGCAACAGTACTTTCTTCCTACAGGCAGGAGAAAGAGAAGGAAAGCAAGAACATTATGGCAATTCCTTTTTCCTTGCAGTTAAGACAGGCAAAGAAGGAAAAAACAAGCTCATTTTCAGGGCTGTAAGAAAAATATTTAAATTTGTTTACACAAGATACATCCTATTTAAATTGTGAATTGTTAATTCCAAATCACAATTTGGAAGGAAATGCACAATATGCAGAGGGAGAGTATGAGGCCGATATGCCACTTGTGGTTCATTTGTTCTCTATTTTGAGCATTTAATTCAGGCAGAGATCTTTGTGCTGCATGTAGCACTGGACTACTTTATCTGTTATTCTTAGTTCCTTAAGCATTTTTGCCTAGTGTCAAAAGGGCTCTAAAAGCTTCCTGGATCAAATATATAAAATTGTTTTCTAATCCAATGAAATTTAAAACAAGGTGTTTTCTTTTCTTTTCTACTAGGCAAATACAACTTGGCTTTCGTTTTTAAGCTCTACTTACCTTACACTTTACTAAAACTTGTTCTGAGACTTGATGCAAAGGTGACTACAGACATAGATGGAAAAGTATTCTTCTGTACCAGCTTTTTCATACAACTAAGCAGTCAGCATAATTTACTTTTAGCATGGCAGAACTGTATGCTCTTTTAAAGTAAAGAAATTACAATGGGAATTTTTCTCAATGTTCAGTATTACAGGCAGGGTATAAAATCATACATTTCCCACCTCTGTACTTAGCCAGTAGAATGTCTCCTGAAAGGGCAATTAGGGCAGCTGCAGCAGATTTAGTTTTGATATAACCTGTTCCAGATCTACAAAAATAAAATAAGTTACATTACATTCACTGACAATGTAAAAACTGAAGCCTCTAAAGAAAGAAAAATATTGCTGTGTTGGAAGACAACTTCAAAAGTAATATCTTCTTATAGGTATATAACAGTGCATTTTACTTATATTTCATAGGACTTTTTGTCATTGAACATAACTACAGAGTTAACTGTTCAAGATAACATGCAATCATAAACCAAAAAGACAGCATCTCCTTCAAAGCCTTCACAATCCAGGAAAATATAATTTTACATTTACAATACATATCCTAAAAAAGTTCTGCTCTTTATTTGTGGAAAGGACTCCCAAACAGGGGAAAGAAAGCAGGATTACAATCTGGGCTTTGTATTACACCATCAGGCAGCTTCACTGTGGCCCCAGATCTGCACTGAGCTTCTCTTGGTGCCTTTTGATTTCACTGCAACTCCATTTAATCAAGAAGATATATGTAGGAGCGAGACTTTAGCTTTGACCTTTAGATCATAAATAATGCAGCTTGATTTAGAACCCAAGTTTGCAACATAGACATCTAATGAAAAAGTGTTTCTTTATGTGAAGACAAAGCAGACATTAATTGGAAACCATAAATCAGGAAATCCTGGAATTCTGTATTAAAGAGACCACCTTTGCAAGGAAGTATTGCATTTCAGAATATAAATTTGTGTTCGACTCTTTAGATAAACTGCATTTTTACAGAACATACTGCATAAAGCTGCAATATAGTCCTTAAAGTATGAGCTCCATGGGAAATTGTTGGTTAGAAGTTTCTAGATTTCAAATTTATATATTTGTTTTTTCCAGAACTTGCATAGAAAAAAGTCCAAGATTAAAGCTAAAGTATGCAATCAAACTCCCTTATGACGGTTTAGGTAAGCTTATTAAGTAAGCAACCACAGAAACATGGAAAAACCCTTATGTGCTCTCGCCATCAAATACTTCCCAGTGTTGATAGCAGAGAACAGCACTCTACATGATTAGAAGAAAATTATAAGAAGCTTTTTCTATCCTATACACATGGCAAGAAATTTGTGATTCTTTTAAAAGGAATTACAGGAAAAAAATATTACACTGTCCTACGAAACTAGAAAAAAAGACCAAGATAGGTCTGTTAAGATTTTTCTAAATTATTTCCCTATAGTGCACATAAATTACAAAATACTCTTGATGTTTCTAGCTTTGTTTTGTAACACAGTAATTTATTCTCAGCCTTAATTGATTTTTTTAATTCATAACACGGGACCTCAAACAGTAGTGATCATATTAATGAATGGTGATTCACCTGTGGTGAATAAATTGTACAATCAACTTAGCCTTTGTCTTTTAAATCTGATACAATCACTAACCAACCCTGCCTTCAGTGAACTAATTCATTATTCAGAAATAATACATGAGAACACTACACTTTTGCGAAATTCTTTCTGAATATATTACTTCCTTATTATGTATTTACTATTCATAGGAGCTAGCTGATCAGCTTAGTTATGAGACAGTAGTTTTGTTTCATAATTAGTTGATGAACATTTTAAACTGAGGAAAACTGTATAATGAAAACCAACTGGCAAATTCTTAACCTGTGCATAAGTACCGTCATTCAAAGCCAAATACGGGTTCTTTTCAGGAGTGTATCAAAATACCTTATTAGTCAAAAGAACATACTCTCCGTAAGGTTGTCCATGGAAAAAGGGAGCATGGACTGGCAGATACCTGGACTTCCAGTTAATTTTGGAAAAATTTGACTGCTGCTTCTCTGATATGTGCCTCTTATTCCTATAGCTCAAGTACTCCCACTGTGTTATACCAAGCAAAATACCAGCGAAATGGGTAAGTTTCATACAGAAATGGTGTAAGACCGGTAGAAACAGATTTAGTCTAGCATTACTTCGTGATGGGATATACTTCTGTACTTCCTCTCACCTGTCATACATGGCAGCTAGCAGGCTCAGTGTGAATTCAGCAGCTCTTGGATCTACCTGGCCTGGTTTTTCTAATCTTGCCCTTTCAAACATTTTTGTCAGCATTCCAGAGATTTGCTGCACTTTCAGAGAAATCTGCTTTTCTCTCTGGCTGTGTTCATTTGACAGGATGTGCTGAATCAGAGAAACATCAATCAAATCCACTGCGGGAAAATTAAGAGAGAAATGATTGAGGATCCCTGCCTTTTCATGAATGGAAGCATGACATTTTTTTTATTAGAAGTACTTAGCTAAGACAAGTCTGTAAGATGAGGTCTAAAACAATATGCAACACAAAAAGGAAATAATCCAGTAAAGGTCCTGCTGGGTTTATGGATGAAGCAAAACTTGTGAGGCTACAAAGATAGAACATCTCAGCTGAAATTCCCTGGATCTGATTTTGGAATAGATAAGAAGGAAAAAGCATGATTAACTGCATCCAAATTATAGACCTAAGTTTCCTTCTACATATAGATAGAATAAAACTACGCACCACTCTACGCACCATTCAGTACCTCAGAAAAACGCTCACCTGGGACTGTGACAACAATTTGTACTTTGATGTAAACTTTGTCCTCATGCACAAATACAAAGAGAAGGGAGATGCTGTGGCCAAGAAAGGGGCAAATAGGATGTATTATACATGTGCCATGGAATAACGAATACCTAGTGGCTTCTTAAAGGCCACATTCAGTACCACAGAAGCATGATTAATTAGAATTAACATCAGAAGAATACTGAAAAGTTTGCATGCTGAAAGTTTGTACACTGCTGAAGAAGCAGAGAATGCAGAATATGTCACCTATGGTCTTTCCAGCACAGATGGGGAGAACTGGTGAAGCTCAGTCTGGAAAGCCATGTGCAATTCTGGTCACCAGTGTTCAGGAAGGAGAAGAGTAACTGGGACAGAGGCCATGCCTGCCTGGAGGAGACACGGAGGACTAGCCAACAGAGCTAATGAAAACCAGTACCTATGTGAATTGGTAGTTCTGTGCTGTGACACACAGCACCAGGGATATTTACCAGATCTAGGCTGAGATCAGACTAAATGCTGTTTGGGCTGAAAAATTCAGTCATTTCAAAGCAAGTTAGGTGACCAGGGCTTTTTTCCGCAAATTTTCGCTTGCACAGAATCCTCAGTCACATCAAAGACAAGGAGAATGAGTGCTAGGCAGGGGTTTTCTAGTCTATCATATTTTATTTTGTTCTCATTAATACTTATAATATTAATAATAATGCCTATCAATGCATTTTCAATGATCCATGATTATTTCCAATAAATCAACTCCTAAGAAACACATGAAAATTTGACATTTAATGAGAACAGTAATATAAAAATTTTTGATTGCCAGTGGTGTCTACATAGCATTGTGGCAGATGGTAATGATAATTTGATTCTTCTATGCCTTTAGAATTTTACTAATGTATTTCCACTGACATTCAAAAGGGGAAAAATATGTTTGTATATGAAGCACTATCTAGCTCTTAAGTGTTCATAATGCATTCTGAAATTTCAGGTGAAAAATGTGAGAGCAAAGTAGCACAATAACTCATGGTGGCAGCAACACAAATTCTTTACAGATTCTTCTCCCTGTTAAAGCACAGGATTCTCTTCAGCTACTAACACTGGCACAGACTTTGTACTGAGCGTAGTTTTAGGGCTGTTCTGTAGACGGAGCTCTGAACATCACTGAAAGCCTCTGTGAAAGAACACAAACATACATTACAATAGAGTGGTTTGTTTAAAAAAAAAAAGAAAGAGAAACAAATTAACTAAAAAACAAAATAACCAAATTTGGACTTGATCAAAACTCACAATATTCTGGAGGAAAAATTGGAAAAAAATGAAAAAAATTAAAACACCTTTTTCTTCTAACAGGTTTGTGGGGAAAACGGTCTTCTCATGATCAGTGACACACTGAGCTGAAAAAATCATATTTAACATAGAGAGCACACCTGTTTCTTTGGGAATCAAGTCTATTCATGGACCAGAAAGAAGGATGTGCAGATCATAAGCATCTCTTGATCAGAGATGCTCTTCTACAAGGAACAGTTTGTTAGTCTACAGAGCAGGGTTATTGTTTTGGATGCATATTGTTCCAAGCATTAGACAAATTTTCTGTCAAGATCAGCATCTGGGACTCTCACAGAAGAGAAGCCATTCACCTGGATTTTGACATCTCTGCTTAGTAATCCCACTCAAGCTGCTTGACTAAACCCCATATCCTTACATGATTTCATCTGATTCATTGCACATCATTAAAGGATGTTTTGCTGAGTGGGAATTAAGGCCTTCTGAACATGACCTTATACTTTAGAGACACACCTAGAACTTCTAGACTAAAAATAAATAATTACAAAACTTTAGAAAATACAAAGGGATTTATCAGTTATCCTCCTGTCCTCAGAGATTCTTTCTACCTCTACTTCAGAGGGGTTACTCAACAGTTGATTAAGGTCATAGATAAGCAACAAATATGCATATGAGTAGAAATAATTTGCTTAACTGTCTACCTGTTTCATCTGGAAAGGAGCCAATTTGTGTGCCGTGGCACAAATGTACCAGACTAATGTTAATAGTCAGCAAATTATGGGCTCTGCTGGTTCCCAGCTGCTGCTTAAGATAGAGATATAAGCCAATATCTGCTATACCATCTGTTTAGTCCTGCTCTTGTCATACTATGTTTTCTGATATTATTTGGAGATGCAGTGTAGCATGTCACACAATGAGAAAAATGAGTTTTCACTTCCATGCACCATCAGTTCTCCAGCTTCAGTAAACTGATCCAAAGCTCTTTTGAAAGTTAACAAAAAGACTCACATAGTTTTCAGTAGGCTATGGATTAAATTCCAAATGCTTATTTTCAAATACAAGTGCTAGAAACATACGCATGATCCAACTCAAACACCTTCAATGTGCAAGATGACTTTCTAAGTGGAGGGAATCCGTTTTAGTAGCCATCTGCTACTCACTTCAAGCCCATCCTTATAGTCAAAATGTGACCTCAAAGTAAGGCATTCTGTGCCTGTCAAGCACAGTTCCAGAATTAATTTGCAAGAGCACACAAGTAAAACAGCAAAGAATAAAAAGCCCAAATAAAATACAAAATATTTTAGTATTATTATTTATGAGCGCTGTTTAGGGGCACTAAACTAACTTCCCACAGGAACTGAGCTTTCACTTTGGACAGGTTCTTCTGCAGTGGGTCAAATTTCACCTTAAGATTCATAAATGACCTTGGTTGAGATGCTGACAAAGGAATTCCTACATGTATAGAAAAGAGCGCATTATTTCCTGACATCTCAAGCTGGCTACCTGCTATTTCTGCATTTTGTGCTACTTGTTACATAGCAGACGAAGCATCCGCTAAGGTTCCTTGCACTCAGAAAGGGAGTGTATGTCCACCCTTCACGTCTATTCAAGAATATGTGAAAAAAACCTTATCATATATTAAAAACGAGAGAACACAGCCACTGTATGCCTGATCATTCCATAAGCCAACATGACAATGTCAAGGAAAGTGCCAGGACAGATGCAAAAATAAAGGTAGGATGTTACAACTGTGTAATCTGTCATTTATGTGCTACAGCACAGAGATTCTAATGGTGGCAGAATTTCATTATAATTCAGTAGTTTCTGTTCAAATCGACACAGAAATGTCTCTTGGGAAAATTGGTAAAAAATGATATAAACCCTTACCCTGCAAGTCTGGATCCAGTTGAAATAAATAGATGGCATTAGGCATTCTATAACGAAACAAACCAAAGTGTAAAACTACATTTTCTAGACAGAGACATATCTAACCATTCAAATCAAACCTTTTAATCTGAAAAATTTACTGGATACATTTCAGAAATGAAAATTAAACAGATTTACATAAAACAACATAATAGTTTTGGTGCCAAGTATAGAGAAACTCCAGAAAAGTGCATGCTCTCTGCTCAGGACAAAGTAGAAGGAACTCCAGTAATTGTGAAATTCTGTCAGGGTGAAAACAGTCCCCAAAACAGTTTAAAGTATAGGAAATGGAATTTTTCACTACTGAAGATTCCGGGATTACTGCAGTCCATAGTGTATAATTTCAGGTCAGAGAGGGCATGCCTTTACACCAGACTCTTCTCAAGATTCACTGATTGCAATTCCTTACAAGTCAGTGTTCTAAAATTTTCAAATAGGACAAAAAGTTTTCAGCTGAGCTGACATTATTACTTTTTGAGCCAGGAAGGAAGGGAAAAATGAAGCATAACCACAAACCTACCTCTTTACACAATCCTGAAAGAAAAGTAATTGTGTCCCTGGATGTCTTCCCTGAGGATTTATTTAATTAATGCTCTAAAATACATTATGTATTTAAACATATATATATATGAATTCAGTATAGTGCCCACCTTTCAGTTAATATTAGAGTTGGAAAACACTAGGTATAACAGATCTAAGTTACATGAGACTCCAAAAGCCACACATAGTGGTTCATATTGGGGAAAAAAAAGGAAATTTGCTAGAATAAATGAAAATTAAATAGTTGGAAACTAAAACTTAAATAATATATTTAGTATTAAATCTGAACTTATCCAAATATTCACTTTATTACATTTTTCCAGTGGGAGTAACTGATCATTTGTCACAAATAGGACAGAATACTGGCAAATTATGACACAAAAATACTCAGGGATCTATAATTATTGAGTCTACCATAAATATGGTTCTCATCATTTTAACTGGTGAAAGCTGCAACTTTGTGTTTCGTTTAGCTCAAACCAGGACATTCAGTCTCTCAATAATGTATAAATACTTAAAATTACGGGATACAGATTTGCTTTAATAACTTCTTCATTGGAGACTGCACTGAAGTCCTTCTTTGACAGAAATATGACTCTATTTGTTTTTCACTATTCTTGTATTTTCTTCCTTACTAAGGTTTAGAGCCTGGACTCAACCCTGGGTTCTGCAAGACTGCAGTTCTGCCCAACATTTCCACTGGCATGTAACTTTGCTTGGACAGTTACTCCTAAAATAGGTGCAGTAGTATATGCCTCTGCATAGCTTGACAGAAAAGGCAATGTAGAAAAATGAATGAAATCAGAAGATTCTAACCATAGAATCATAGAATCATTAAGGTTGGAAAAGATCTCTTAGGTCATTTAGTCCAACTGTCTACCCAACACTACCATGACCACCAACGAATTAAACACAGGTATTTAGTGAAAGCTCTGTGCAGCAATCTACAAGACAGACTTAAAAACACACAGCTTGCCTCATGTTTTCCTCCTTTTCTTCTCTCCATGAAAGGTGCATAAATAAAGCAAGAGAATGAATATAAAAATATACAGGTTAAACTCACTTAAATGAGAACTCACTCATTAGAATTTCCTCACTCAAGTAAGAACAGGTCTATTGACTTCACTGAGTTACACGGCATGCATAATCTATCAGTACTCGATACTTACTGTAAGATGACAAGGTGCCTATCCAGTACAGCACAATGCCTAACTTTTAAATTAGCCATATGGGCACACACACTACTAGGTTATTCATGGTCTCAAAGTTAAGTATGTGTTTATGTGTCTTACCAAACTGGCTGTCATTGTGCAACACCATAACATCCTACCCATGAACCCTCCCTCCAAAACGTTATGAAAGGCATTACTAACCCAAGAATAGTCTACATCTTTGTATACAGACTCTAGGGAGAGTCCAGATCTTGGCTGCTGTAGGCATGCTTGTGTGAAATGAACAGGGTCTATTTCAGTGTTAGCACATCTACTTTATAATGAACATAATATGAAAGTAGAAATGGTATCTGCCTGCCATCAAATCTGAACTGAACTAACTCTGCTCACTGATAGACTTTTTCAGTCAGTGTGTTGTATTTCAGCTACATGTGCCTTTTATTAATAATTAAAAATACCTCCACAAACCAAAAAATAATATTTAAATTAGTTACAGATGTACCTGAACCCATTAACACAAATACTCTTCTGTGCAGAACAAGAGTAGATTTATTTTTGAATACTAACGGAATGTGCAAGAAAAGTATCATGTTTGATAACTTTATCTTTGACTATACAGGTTGCCAGAACATGTATGTTAGCAAATAAAATGCATTTCAAGCATGTCACATAATTAAGTTAAAGCACAGAGGAAGATAAACCAGATCAAGTAAGGCAAAAATCTCACAGTAGATCAACAAACTTGAACACAGAACCCTTCCTTCTTTTGAGTTCAGATAACGTATGAACATTCTGAATATGCATAAAATAAACTACAATTACTTTTGTTTCCTCTTGAAGGTTGAAAATGCTCTGTTGTGTTCAAAGGCCAAAATTATTGCCTCCTCTTAAATACAGTAATAGCGCTTACCTTTCTCTCAGCTACTTACTAAAGGCCCAGAAGTCAGACAACACCGCCAAAGAAGGCCAGCAGTTACACAGCACGTAAAAGTTGACTTTGAGACACAGTCTAAAGGTTTTGCTTTTAAATGAATGCTATTCACAACAAATGCCTGGCAAAGGCCCAGATCAAAGTATCAGGTAATTGTCTAAGCAGTCAAAACAGAGAACACTAATTAATTAGTAATAAATATCCTGAATTATTAAAGATAAAACTTCTTTGATCTTTGTTTCAAAGCATTTTTTTCTTATGGTTGGAGTGCAGTATTTCTAACTCAAGGGGCCAATACTAAGCATGTCCCCATTGCTGAGCGACAGTGTTGCTATAGAGACTTAAAATGAAGTGGAAGATGGCACAACAGTGCAGAAAGCACAGTGCACTGTAACAAGTGGTGCAACTACACAAACAGGAAAAACAGTAAGTCCTAGTGGTAACATCCTGGAGTTGTTCAGACCAACCAGAAAGCTTACACAACCTTCAGAACACCAAAATGCTAGGGTAAAGGCAGAATATATATAACATTTGTAACACATATGTTTACCTTAAAGCCCTTTTTCATAATTTTTTTAACAGTTACTCTAACACCCAGGTAGGAGGATTCATCAGTGCTATGAATATCCTGCATACATAACATTACTTAGGAACTTGTGAGAAATCATGTACCAGAAATTATTTATTACTTAGAAAAAATCCAAAGTTAGTGATGAGTGAATCGCTGTGTTACAACTGCAACCAACTTTGAATATGTCACCGTATTTTAGCTTTCCTACTATTTTTGTTCTTTCTTTCTCACCTAAGCAAAAGCTAGGTAAAGAAACTTTTCTATTCTATTATGCTTCCACGAGGAAAGACCTGAATTTCTCTGCAGGCCACTAGGCAAATCTAATTAGAATGATTTAGGATGCAAGAGATACTCGAGACACTTGTTTTGTCTTTCTCCTCCCAACCTCTGAGAGGAAATTTTTTGCCTGTGGTCTTCAGGTAGTGACTCAGAAGTCCAGTAAGCCTGCTTATATATTGCAGAAACAGCTGATTTTTTTCTCAGTAACAGCTAAGTAGTCTTGGTGCTGGAATTGCAGTCTGTTGGAACTACTATCTCCACAGTAAGAATAAAAGAATTCGAAGAGCAAAAGACTGCCAAATCACATTCCAGATAGCAAAAACCAAATGTAAATACACAGTAGAGAAGCTATTTTTTCCTACCCTGTCTTGCAGAAGGAGCTATGGAACAAATCAGGTAGTTTGTAAAGACTACAGGTAGCGTTCTTCCATGCTATGTTCTCCTGAGACATCTGCTTCCAGACGCTCCTCAGCCTCAGTCACTATTCTGTGCATACACTAATGCAAACTGATTGCCTGAAGACCACTTCCTCATGAATGGAATGATTCTCTACCACTTTCTTAAACACTTTTTACAACATCTGCCTCTACAACTCCCTTGTGCAGTCTTCCATGAAGAGACTTACAACAGTATCTCAGTTTCTGTAAATGTTGATTCTCCCATACACATTTTACATAAGAAACTACACTCTTCCAGCTCCCTTGCGATAGCCCACCTTTCTGAGCTCCACTTTCTAAGAAGAGTAAGACAATCCCTCCACATTCTGTCCATATCAGATGACACATAACAAATAACAAATAAACTCCTCTTGGCTTCCTCATAGTGCACTCATGTTCAGAGTTTGAACCTCCATTTGAACAGAAATAATGAATTTATTCCAATTATATGTATCTGATTCAAAAAACAGGACACCTCCTTTTGCTTTACTCACATCTGATAAAAAATTAACAAGTACAGTAACACTTCAATTAACACAGTCTCCAACTTTTAAGACACCAAAAACATGCAAGTGAAAGTGATTCCTCAACAGTCCTGTTCAGAAAATGTGCTTCAGGAAAAGGACTTATTTAATCGCATGTTTGACTTCAAGCATATGAGCAGTCCCTATGAAACTCATGAATAAATTTAAAATATGGAGACAAAAATTATTTTCTTACTAGTGAGATCTCTGCACTTAAATTTTTGTGTTAAAAATGAATTTTGCCTGAGGATATATATTCTTACACAAGGATTGTGTTTCAGGAAGAATTTGGAGTTATAAAACTGCTACTCTGTGTGTGATAATCTTGCTCAAAATTGTCATAATCTGAGTGGTTTAGACGTTGATGTTTTTAAAACAGTTTATTGGTTTGAAGAAATAATTTGTTGTATGTAAATGAAATCCTAGACTTACTAAAAATCAATAGGAATTTTAGTCTGGTCTCCAGATTAAGAATCTTGTATTCACACTGTTCCTGAACTATTTTTCTGTATACAGGTTTCCAGGGTTTTGATGAGGAAGATACTGTAAAAGC